ATATATATATATATATATATATATATATATATATATATATATATATAGGTACATACATATATATATTATTTCTTTGTTTATTTTTATCGTATCAACTGTCTCACTGAGCGTCCTGTTGTTATTATTGCCATGCTCTTGCTGCTTTGTCTGTCAAAGCACTTTGTAAACTGTTTTTAAAGGTGCTATATAAATAAAGTTATTATTATTATTGTTATCATCATTGTGTTTAGTGTGTTTAAGTGAAATGTTGAGCTATTTTGATGGAAACATCCAGTGCCTTGTGTGTATGTGTGTGTCTGTGTGTGTGCGCGTGCGTGTGTGTGTGTCTGTGTGCGCGCGTGCGTGTGTGTCTGTGTGTGCGTGCGTGCGTGCGTGTGTGTGTTTGTGTGTTGGCTTCTGGAATGCTAGACATCAATTGCACGCAGTCCTGACAGACAGCTGCAACGCGGTGGCGTTTTTAACATGCCAGACCAGCACCAGAGCATTTCAATGTGTGTGTATGTGTGTATGTGTGTGTGTGTGTGTGTAGGGGTACTTGGTCTAAAAGGTAACAAAATAGAAAGACGGAATCAACCCTTTAAATACAATTTGCACTTTATTCCGCTTCAACTTTTCAAACCCTCCAGGCCGCTGGCCCTCTGCCACATGAGTCACTTGCGGCAGTTGAAGAAGCCACTCAGCCTGTTAAACCTGATCAATGAAAAACACCAATTAAAACCAATTAGGCACTGCTCTTTCATGCAAATACCTCTCACGCATCTTCATCCGGCCCACCATCTTGTTTGGTGTTATTTCTACCTCACCCACCCCTCCTCTCCTCATCGTACAACCACGTCGTGCTATGGAGGATATAATATGACTTAAGTATAAATAAATAAATGCATTAATAAATGTTTGAAAACAGAAATAAATGAATAAAAGAATAATTAAAAGCTGAAATAAATAAATGTGTAAAAAAATAAATGCTGAAATAAATATGGAAATAAATAAATTAATCTATAGATAAATAAATAAAAGTTGAGAATGAAACAGGACATAAAGAAATACATTTAATTTATTTATGTGTCTGTATGCTAATGAGGTGGGAGGTCCTAACCTCTGTCTAAAGCAGGATTGGTCACAGGAGTGTGATCGCTTCTGGTCTACTACTGCTGCTTTGCACAGTAACGTTGAAGTTGGCTAGCCCAGTGTTGCAAAATTGACGACTTTCTCTTTAAATATGGCCACTTTCCAAATCCTCTTGGCAACTTTTTTTGTCAAAAGCGATAGCGACAAATCTAGCGACTTTTTCTGGTGTTATTGGAGACTTTTCTTGTGTTTTGGAGACTCTGACATGAAAGCACGTATCATTCTGCAGTTACTGTCCTCAACGAGCAGCGGGTGCTGCCGTGAGCCCCTCCACCGTACCAAAGCACACACAGGCGGTCAGTCTTACAGTAGCCTCGCGCAGCAGTCCCAGCTGCAGACTGTGGAAGCCATTAGTGCTGCTAACTAGTTTTTTGATGTTGTCTACAGGGATGATTTGCTAGGAATCGGTTCCTTCTGTCTTGCTCCCCTATTGACCAATCCTGCTTAAGAATGAGGTTCGGACCGCCTACCTCATTAACATATGGACACAGAAATAAATAAATGAAGGAATACAGAAATGTAGAAATAGATTTATTTATGTATGTCCTGTTTATGTAACAACTTTTATTTATTCATTTCAGCATTTATTTATTTCTGTATTTAATTCAGCATTTATTTATTCTTTTATTTATTCATTTCTGTATTTATACATTTATTTATGCATTTATCTATTTATTCCTGTATTTATTTATACATTTATTAATGCATTTAGTTATTTATACTTAAGACATTTTTTGTCCTCCTTAGCGTTCATCATACTACGACTGATCCTGTTTATTTTGTACACGTTCGGCTCCGCCCCTGCAGACGCGCCGATATCACGCAGTTGCGTAATTTGACGAAGGCAGCGCAAAAAAAAAATAGAGGAGAATGAACGTTTGACAGCCGGCTCTTTTGCTCGCGCGGATCCTGTCGAAACAATAAAAAGAAAACACATATGCTCGATTTATTTGCGAGCGAGATTTCGAATAGCACCGCCGATTTCTAATGGCCGCTGCCGTGAGGAGTCACGTTTGGGTCGCTCCGGGGCAGGACGCGCAGTTTCTCCACAGCTGCGTCGCGCCGCTGCCAGCCGACTGCGTGAGAGGCGAAGATCTCGGGCAAGCGGTCTGTCGCACGAGGGATATCGTCCCGGGAACTTCCTCTTTCCACGATTATAATCTGGTAGGGGCATCTTTTTGCATTGTTACTTCTGCATCTGCTCAACACCGAGCGTCACAATGTTTGCTGATGCCCGGATGATTTTGACGCAGAAAGACTTGTTTCACGCAAACATGCGAGACTGTAATGTCAGAGGCAGGCCCGCGCGTTTGTGCACGCGTTGTAATGTCCACATCTAGTGTCCCAGCACGTGACTGCAAATTGTTTTTGTTTTCTTTCTTTATTGATGATATTTGGCATGCACCGACTGGGTTGTGATCACAAGCGGGACAGGCAACGCTGCACACCTGAACGCTCCTGAAACTTGCGAGGGAGGAGATGCTGCTCACTGCGCTGCAGCTGGATGGGCTAATTTCAGCCGCGGTTTTTTTCTTCTTCCAACCGGCTCATGGCTGGAGCGTTTCAGAAGGGCGTCTGCTCCTCTGCTAGTTAAAAAGAAAAGGGAGGGGTTGCGTCTTTTGATGTGGCAGCGCGTGTGTACACAAGTGCAGGCCCCTGGATGCATCCCCACATGGATTCACACCAGTTCGGTTTAGTTGTTTGTAAGTCTACCAGCGGGTAGTTCTGGTTCTGTTTTTTTGGGGCAATCTTTTTTTTAAATCTTAGAACACTTGAAGACAGATGAGGCGTTCAAGGCCCAGTGTTAAAGGAAACTTGTGCATTGCTAACACATGTGACACCCTCAATCAAACAGATAAAAGTTTTAACACAACTTTACAAATGTCCTGCTCTTGTTTTTCAGTTTAAATCAGAGATGGACAGCTACCTGTCCCCGCACCAGCAGTACGCAGCCAACTCCAAAACGCTGTGCAGGGACATGGGGACCCTTACCGCGCCGGAGCCGTCTTTCACCGAGGACCTTGGTTCCCCGTACAGCGTCAACATGAGCCTGCTCCTTCCCGACGTCACGTACCTGCAACCGGGTCTCTGCAGGGCTGTGAGACAGATCAAAACGGAGCCGTCGCACCCTCAGATGCGGCACAGCTGTCAGGGTGACAGAGCGCTGCCACCGCCACTCCCAGAGTACCCGGGTGGTTTCGGTGCAGCCAACGGTAGATCTTTTATCAAACAGGAAGTGACAGATTTCCAGGATGTCCCCCTGTTTCAGCTTCTGAACTCTGACATGGAGCAGCTCGTTCATCGGTCCCAGCTGAGGTCCATCCCCAGGGCCCCTTTGAGTCTTCCAAACGGCCATGCGGTCCCCGCGCAGAATTCTGCCAAACCCACAAGCAGCCCTCAGCGTGAGTGTTTGCCATTTAATCCGCACCCGGGCCATCAGCGGAGACGGACCTATCTGCCGCCCTCCCCGCCAAACTCGGATCCCCCGAGTCCGGGAGGGGGCAAGGAGCCCCTTCACAATCTGTCCCCACCTCCCTCCTACGAAGCCAGCGTCGCCTCCAAGTTAACTTTTCAGGCCCGTCGTAATCCCGCCGATACAGGACGCGCACCTGGCGCAGCTCCAATCCAAAACCCAGACCAGAGTTCCAGCATCGGATCAGTCCAAAGCCCCGGTCCCAAGCCAGTCCATCTCTCAAGCCTGACGCCCGGCCCGCTGTCCCCGGTGTTGGCCCAGGCGGCTTCCGCTAAGTACAACAGAAGGAATAATCCGGATCTGGACAGAAGGCGGATTCACCACTGTGATGTTTCAGGTGAGATGTTTGGGTTCAATTTACAACACTAAAACTCAAATTCAAGTAGGACAGTACACCGATCTTTCTTCTTTTTCTTCCTTTTTAGGATGCAAGAAAGTATACACCAAGTCTTCTCATCTGAAAGCCCATCTGCGGACCCACACAGGTAAAATGTTCGGAGTTGCACTTCTTATTTCGTGGGTGAAAGCGGCGTTGTTTGCCTGGCAGAAAGATCTGCTCTTGGCATGCGGACACATTCTGTGTGCTGACAGACCTGGCCCACATCTCACCGCTGGCCCGCTGTGATTAATGACTCACAGTGTGACGCACGCGGATGAAAAAAAGTATTGAAACTCATTTGTCGGTCGTCCGACACATCTGCGAGTGTTCGGTACTTTTTAAGTGATGTTATTTATTAAGGGAAGGATATATAAATATGATGTTGTCCATCTGCCGTAGCTTCATTTTGCTTCTCTTTTTTTTTTTCCCCACCGTCTGCTGAAGGAGAGAAACCGTACCAGTGCTCCTGGGAGGGATGCGAGTGGCGCTTCGCCCGCTCCGACGAGCTGACTCGCCACTTCAGGAAACACACCGGGGTGAAGCCTTTCCAGTGCACCGTGTGCACCCGCTGCTTCTCCCGCTCCGATCACCTGGCCCTACACATGAAGAGACACCAGAGCTAGAAACCCTGCTCCAGCAAAAGCACCGCCAATCTTCTTTTCTTTTTTTCTTTTTTTATATTTCGCAAGAGCAGGCATATCAGAAATCAAACAAATTCAAAACTGTGGATTAATTCACTCACTCCCCCCGTGGGGAGACATTGGTAGCAGTGCTGGCCTGCACGTAATTGTTTCCTTTATTGTAAAAAAACAACGTTACAATCGCCTTATTTTATTTCCACGCATCCACCCCCAATATCAGGGGACATTTGCAAAGATGTCAGTGACAAAAATCATTAGCCAGATGTAACGACGAAATTATATTCATGCACTGCAAAGTACGCGGACAACTTCAAATGTCAGCATTTTATTTTTCAAGTTTTATCACATATCGTATCAACACGGTGTCAACTATTTAATTCATGTAAAAATAGCAAACTACAATTCTGTAAGTGCAGATGTAGGATCACTGGAAGGTCCAGAGAACATGTTGTTTTAGTCAGCATGGTCAAAGGGTAGACTGTATGTGTGTAATATAAGAAGTAAAAGCAGTCATGTGTGGATTATTTAAAGACACAGTAGGAGAAATAAATAGTGGGAGGAGCCGTGTGGCGAGCGACTTCAAACACTTTTGAGGATCCTCGGAACAAAATCTACATTTACTCATAACACTGAAATGGAAGGAAGATAATGGGTGCGAGATGTTAGATCCTATTCGTATTGGACAGCATTATGAATGTTCTGTATCTATGCTCCCACTACATTGCAACGTAGATACTGTCACAACAGAAAGTGTTAAATATCTTTCAGGTGGGCGCAGAGATAAATAATAAATGGTGCATTTTGGGTTTCAGGACTTTCAATGGTACGCTGCGTGTTTTTTATTTAATGGTCGAAGAGGTTTTTTTTTTAAACGGGTCTTGTTTCGTCCCATGTTGACTTCAACCATGTTGTACACTGAAAGGTGGTGGAGGAGCAGCTCTGAGTGCAGCGTGACATGCCAGCAGCAGCTGTCACGATGGACACATTCAGTCTCGCTCGCCTCGAGACTTTAACTCTGCTGCAAACTGTGTGTCGGTACCTAACATAACAGGATTATCATGTTACTGATGATTTGTCTTCAAAGCGATGTCTTAGACTGAGCACCTGCCAGTCTTAACATCTGTGTTTAGCTTTTGGTTTCTTTGACTGCGATCCACGTATCGAAAACAACCTTTTAAGTGCCTTTAACTGATTGTTTCTTCTTTTTTTTTTTGAGGGGTGGACGAATGAAAAACCGAGCATCCCCGTTGGGACACTGTTCTTTTATCAGGTACTCCGCTTAAACGATTGTGTGTGTTAGCTGCCCCTCCATATTTTATATATATATAATCTGCTGTTTAAGGATACAATCCATTGATTGTCTTCGGGTGTATAAAGATTTTTAACTTTTTTTTTTTAATAGCAGGGACTGTTTAATATTATTAATATTTTTTCAAAGGCTAAGAAGGATCAAATTTTAGAATATTGCTACAGTCTACACTGTTATCACTTTCTCTAGCTCAGCGGGAGGATGTGCCAGAGAATTGTTGCAATACTTTTTAAAATAGATATGTACACGTATTTTGGCATGAAGATGAACGTTGTGTCCTAGCTTCATAAGAGCTAGCGTAAATTGAGCAAAATGTGCTATGAAGCCAATGCGACCCTTACAGTACAAAGAAAAGTTTTGTGTTGAATATTGCTTTTTAATGTCTGTTTTAAAAAAAAATATATATTGTTAAATATTTTTTTTTCTACATTATTACTGTGTTCCCATATTACATTTGGTCACTTTTAGATTGTAAGAGACTACAGTAATGTTTATCTCGTAAAAGTTATTTTCAGGTGTTTTTGAACACCTGCTGCAACAGCTTACTGATGTGGATTAGTTATCAGTAAGGATATGGAAAATAGATTTGGCATTGTTTGTCATTTTTTCTTAACAGTTTTTGCATTTTGTATGAAAATAGCATGTATGTATGAATTATGCAATTTTTTTAAAAGTTAGTTAAAAGCTACAAGTTGTAAATTTATTAAAGACCGTTCTGAAGGAGGACTGCTAGTAGACCACTTGTAAAGAGGAAACAACCGAACGGAACAGAAATTGATATGGAAAATGTACAAAAAACTCGATAAATAGATGTCTGCTCGAGTTCTTTTTGTTTGTTCTTTGTGGAACAGCGACACGTGATCTGTTCTCAGGAACTTTGTGCGCTTCTTCTTATCCTCGACAATTCTGTGCAATCCAAACAAAACACAGTGACTTTTTTTCCCCCCTAATTGCTGGAAATTGTCCCTGACATGAGTTACGGCTCAAAGCAGAGGAGTTGTCTGAGCTTTTCCTGAGCGCGGAGGAAGTTCCCCCGTGGAGACTGTTACAATATCACTCTTATCCACTAACGTGCTTCGCTTTGCTCCTACAGTACATGCCGGCACAGTACACAGGCTCCCGTGAGCGATAAATCACACTTGTGATGTAGTGCACACCGAATATGCTAAGCGCGGTGGGAATTGAAACCTTGTTATTGTAATCATCGGAATCCTTTTGCCGTCTGACAGAGACATTCATCCAGATCCAGATATTACAGAGCGCCGTACAGGATGTGCGCTTAAACTCTTAAAACATACCGGCTCTTAGAATACCACTCGGCGCAGATGATAACAAAGCAATGCGATATTACACAGAGGATCAGAACGTTTTAATGTGTGCGATTGAGGATTTTCAGGTTTTACGTGGATACTGTGAATTAAAAAATAAGTAGCGACGGGAAGTACTCTACTCTGTGTACGAGCTACTGTACCGTATATATCATACAGAACTTCAAATGTCTCCCCTAATACCAAGATTAGGTTCCTGAATGCCGGAGAACGTGAGTAAAGGACTCAGATGTCATCTGCGACACGGAACCCGCATACCATCCATCTCAGTCACAGACAGCAACCAGCTCCCACGCCAGTGTGTTACATACAAAATGCAACTTTATTAACCTTCATGCCTCCATTCATATTAATATACATGTATATGTTTGAACTTATTTTAATTTCACAGCTCCATCCATATGAAAAAATACAGAGAGAAAAAAAGGCAAAACACTGACTGGATACTTCAACAACTCTTGGAGAAAAAAAGAAAAGAAAAGCGTAACAGAAAAAAAAAATAAGGACACCTGTTCTTGAAGTTTTGAAAAATATCAGGATTAAAAATTTATTTTACAGACGTGGAATTCCGTGAGCAGAATCTCCTTTTTGAAGTGACGCTGAGCATTATCACATTTTTTGAATTCATTTTTTTAATGGTTTTTTTTTTCCCGGTAAGAATGAAAAGATCTGAATATATTTACACTACACTCACTTTACATAAATACAGGAACAACGATTACTGTACGTAATATCAGAAAACTTGAAAAAACATAGGCTTCACTACTTAAATCTTCAAAACCAGAAAATCAGAAGCAGATGTTACAACAGAAAGTCAAACTAGATATTGAACCGATGGAGAAGAAGTGTGTGTTCGTGAACGAAGGCGCCGCTCTGCAGATTTCCTCGTCCTCCATGTTAAATTCATGGGATGGAGCTGAAGCATCGAGAGGCCTTCGCCACTCGGATCTGTTCCCCTAAGAGGAAGTGACTTATTGCGAGCAAAGCAATAACGCGTCCTGTGAGAGTGTTATGGGAGGATGCTGCGTTTGACACAATGGCGTAAGGCTCAGTGCGAGGAGAAAGTTCAACATTAAAGGTCCCGCTTGCATAATGTCGTCAGTGTTTTTTGTTTTTTTTATTGTCCAAAATTTATGCTTTCCCCATTGGATGTTTATTAATTTGAGCACGTGCGTTGAAAAAAAAAATCCAAACTGCACAGAGCAGCTGATATTACAAGTTGTGCAATATGAGGCACTATTCATTATTATTGCATAACTTTGACCCTGGTTACCGTTACAAAATTATGCTTTCAAATGAGGAGAGGGATGCTGGAGGGAAATATAACACACACCCTGTCCCGCGGAGACGCCGAGTTCAAGTCCAATCGAATCGAGCAAAAAAACTAAAAAAACTGGCGTGTTAAGGCATGCAACGTCGTACACTGAATACCAGGGTACGCGTGTCGTTGATATGTGCTTGATCAATATCATTTCTTGTCCGGGTATAGCAAAATAGCAAACACAGGGAATAGAGTACCTTAAATACGGTCAATGTGTATATAAATAATTTGTTGATTATAGCAAACACTGGTTCAGCCTTTTGAGAGTACAAATGATTTGATCATGAACTTATTGAACCACAAACTGAAGAAAGCAAACCGCTCTGTGGCATCACATGTAGTAATTTACAAGACGGACACCATTAGCCCCATTTCACTGTATATCAAATTAGATAAATTACAGTCTCTGGAAAAAAAAGACTTTACACGTATAAATGTATTTCCTGCATCTACTAATCAAAAGCCCTATTTTTCCAACGTATATACAGGCTGTAGAACTTTGTAATAAGTTTCATCTTCACTGTCACATATATTACAACATTTCAAAAGATCCTTTTTACAGAAGAAGAAAAAAAAAGAAGTTATATGCAAAAGGATGAAGGGCCCCTCAGTAATAAAATGTTCTTATACATTATATGGAGGATAAAATACGACGAAGATTATTTCGCTTATAAATTCTGAAATAAAATAATAATTTGAAAATCGAACTAATAGACAAACAAGGTGCTGATATGCTTTTGCCAAAATGATAATACAACTGGGCATAATGACATGTGCGCAAACAATGTGCATAAATTATGATACCACACATTACCATTCTCCGTTACATCGAGTGGGTGTCACATACGTCGGGTGCATGTGTGGAGGCGACTTCCTGGCTTTGGCTACTTGGCTGAGAAGTGAGGATGTGTGTAGAAGTGAGGACGTGTGTGTGTGAGTGTGGTTTTCAGGGTTGCCATTTCTTTTTACTGGCTTCCGTCCAATAAATGCATTTAGCAGCACTATTGAATATTATGGGATGGCCTGATGCTCTGAGTTTATGTCTGCAGGTCTTACACAGCCTGAGGAGTATCGGAAATACCTTAAACAATATCTGTTACTATGACTAAAAATGCACTTTTTAAATTACATTTCCTGACTAAGGTCAAGAGGTGTTCTCTAAGAGAGATTGTGTATTTGTGTGTATATATATATATATATATATATATATATATATATATATATATATAATGCGTGTATGCATATGCTATTCCTGCATTTTTCAGCATTTTCTGGAGCCAAATCTCAGGTGAATCAGATAACACATATCTGGTCTGAGGTGAGAACATTTCAAGTGACTTTCTGTATTTAGGACAAACTAAATAAAACAAAAAAATGAAAAGATCAGATTAAAACCTCGTGCTGGAGCTACGAAAACCAATCATAGAGTGAGGAGGTCGGCCCGAGTTAGAAACGTCTCCTGCGATTTTGACATCAGCAAACAGGGCAAAGTGTGGAGTTCCGGTCACTTTGCTAGGTATGTATTGCTCTTCTGTATTGTACATCAGGTAGCGAACGTTCTCTGTAACACCGCTGCCGATTTCGGTTTCAGCTTACCGGTCAAGAGCCGCTGTGCAAAAACTGTCAAACCCAGCAGAGAAAACAAAGCTGAAGGATAAGAAAGTGATCGATCGGGACAGAATGAAAGAGTGTAAGGTGCCTCTATTTTCTTTTCTTCACATACTGTAAATCTCCTCTGATTGTTTTCAAAGTTCACTGTACATGAGGGGTTGTGTTTTTTCTCAGTCGAACATAAGCAATAAGCAGGCATTTAAAAAACAAAAACGCAAGATTCAATAAACGGAACGTTGTCATACTGAAAGTATATTTATCCTTTAAGATTGCACTTAACTGATTGCTAATCACAGCACAAATTCCACCAAAATTTTTTTTGTTCTTTTTTGTTAAGGAAATGCTTTCAAGAGGCTCAACATAAAGAATAGCACTGATGAGATTTGGGGAGTTGCCCGGCCCTGTCAACGGGGTCATTGCTGGTGTGATGATACGCCTGTCCGGTTTCCATCGTTTTGGAAATAAAGCAATGAATGTCTGTAAAAGTGGTTGATGAGGTTGATCCGTTCAGATTGTAGCTGTGATGGCCCCGTTTGCTGGCGATGAGACGGACAGTCCGGGCCGTTTTGAGCTTCTATACAGGGGACGCCTCAATGAAACAGAAGGCTCCAGCAGGCAAAGGAAACCATCCGTGGTGAAATGGCGCCCTCTGCTGGTAACGGCGCAACAATACTGCCTGTAACTCCAACCAGGCCCGAGTCCTTCCCTGTGATCCAGGCCGGGCCTCTCTTCTTTCTGCTCTTGCAGGAAATCCATTCCACACTTTGGGGTCTTTCACATTATGAGTGCTGGAAAAAGCAGCAATAAAGAAAAGAAAGAGAGAAAAAAAAAAAAAAGAGACCGTTGCCATTGCATTATATATATATATATTTTTTGTCCGAATAAAGAGTGCGGGTTCATCTTTAAAAATCAAGGTGAAACATTTACAAACAGTGCTGTAAAAGACAGTTCCCTATTATACTCCAAAGAATAACAATAACAGATCCTGCCGTCCATTCCTTCCAGCCCAAAGGGGATCCAGAAGTGACCCTGCTTTGTGCTCCACAAGCCCTGTGCACATCTCCATCTCCTTTCCTCATGACGGATGAGAGTGTGTGTGTGTGCATCTGTGCCTGTGTGTGTGTGTGTGTGTGTGTGTGTATGTAGGTGTGTGCGTCCAGGCCAGCTGAAAAACATTCATAAGGAGATCCCGCTCCCCCGACTGCCTGTGTGTGTGTGTGTGTGTGTGTCTGTTTCATTGATCTCTCTCTTTCTTTCTCTCCGTCTCTCTTTCTTGATTCCTCTCTCTGTCCGTTCCCGATTCACACCAGCATGTGTCTCCGTCGGTGCAGGGCCAAGTGGTCGGATCTGGAGAAGCTGCGGTCACAGTCTGCGCACTTGAAGGGCTTCACCCCCGTGTGTTTCCTGTAATGCCTCGTCAGCTCGTCGGAGCGGGCGAACTTCCACGTGCAGCCGTCCCAGGTGCATTTGTATGGCTTTTCCCCTGCAGAGGGAGACAGGAAACGCAGCGCTCAGGAGCTGGTACGTCACATGTTCAGTACTGTTACTAAGCTGGTGGCCACGCCCGATGCTTTATTAATGATGACGTGTCTCCCAGAAAGTTGGTAACTTTCTATCTATGACATAATATCTCATTGAACAATCATAAAGGTATTGCATGGTCTGAATAATTCACGAGGTCAAATAATCACAATTGTTGCACAGAAATCATTGCTTGTGAACATTGTGGTGTTTTCCCTCCTTACTTCCACACTCGTTAGGAAAGCTCGGAGCTAAAACTCCAACATTACCACATTTTTGCGGGCATTTTTTAAATTCATGCTACAGATTGTTTTTTATTTTATTTTAGATGCAGTAGTTTCCATCCATTTAAAAAGAAACAAAAAAAAAATTAATTAGCTTTCTTATCATTCGTATGCTGTGTTGAAACTTGCCTGAGTTGTGTAATCCATCACAGTGAACATCAAGTCCTCGTTCTTTCCAATCAGATTGATGTTCACTCTGATGGATCACACAACTCAGGCAAGTTTCAAGCGTCTAAAACTAGTAGATTTTTAAATTGTTAGAAAATCAGTTAATATCTGGGATGAAAAACACTGCAGCATGGTTAGCTGTATTGTCTACATCTGGGGTGGCCAAGCTGCGGCCAGCTGCTCAACTTTGAAATGGCCTGCGGTGAATTTTTGTAAATTAAGTAGAATATGTCTTGAGCATATTTCTAATGAATTGTGCTAATTGTACATTGCATTGAATCCCGGTTAAAACACTGGATGACTAAAGTTAGTGTAATATTTCTGTCTCCACCTCTTGGCACTCAAGCCAATATTTTACCATTTCTATCTGTTGTGTTTGTTACATCTTAATATTAGATTTACATGTTACGTTTACATTCGCATCGTAACTTTTAAAGTGGGAGCTTAGGGTCATGAGCAGAAATCAACTTCTGCGTGTTTGAACTCATTTACAGATTTACACAAAACATCGTAATCTTTTTTAGTGGACACTTTGACCCATGCGCTGCATTGGAATTTTAAAGTATTGAATTCATTTGAATAACATTGAAGAGCAGCCGATACAGACATGTTTTTGTATAATATGGGTAGACCGATAAACTACTATAATGTCAAACGTTAATCTCTTTAGAGTCCCTCCATAAGAGAGGAAGTGATTACGAGAAACTTTTGAAAGTATCATGACCACACCGAATGCCTTATGGCTGCTGTTATAAGACATCACGATGCATTATTTGATATGCTCAGCAACACTAATGCAGCGTCGTATGTGTGTTTTAATGTGTTTTATACTGTAGCTAAGGATTACACACACAGACTTAAAGGGCCAGCGTGTAGGATTTGGTGACATCTAGTGGTGAGGCTGCACATTGCATCACACAGAAACTTGGAGGAAGCCAAGCGTGTAGGGAACTAATGACGATCCCACAAGTGATGGGTGTCTTTTTTTTTTTTAAGCATTCCTTACAAACAACGAACCACAATTCTTCCTTCCTTCTAACATTGCATCAAAATGTTCCTATGTGCCAATCTGAGTGTCAAAAACAAAAAGGAGCTCAGAGTAAGTCAGGCCACTTTCATGGGTTTCTCATGATCACGGTCTCAGATTTGAGCCTGACAAAATCTTCATGGATAACTTGGACTTGTTTTGATTTATGTGCCTATTTGGATGCAGGTCTAGTTATCTTTTTTTTGGTTTTTATTTTCATGATTACCCCTTTGTCTTTCACTCAAGCTGCATGAAATCAATGGCATTTTATAATGAATATGTTTGGTCCTGTTAAAACCAATGTGTGAAAATGTTTACATGCACAGATCAGCCATTTCACAGGTACTGTGTAGCAGGATGCTGATGGATGTAGGCACAGAACATTTACAATAGGTTTATGCCTACCGTGTGATAAATTAGATTTTTAATTATTCATTCCTACATTTTGAATTAATTATGCACTTTGACCCGTTCCAGATTCAAATTGAACTTTATCAGTCCTTCAAAACAACATATACTCCAAAATGGTTTTCAGTGCAACCTCAGCACGATGTCGTGTTATATGGTCCTAAAGGCACTGACTCAAATAAGAGAGTGACCTTCTGAACATTTAAATGTCATTGCTGTTGGATAATCACAGCGTCAAACCGTTCACACTGAGACCTACTGACCTGTATGCGTCCTCCGGTGTGCTTTTAAATGGGAGCTTTTGGTGTACACCTTATTGCAGCCCTCGAAGTCACATCTGTGAATCCTCCTCTTTTTGGAATCGGGTGACTCTGACCTCCGGGGGCGCCGTATGCTGTCGATGCTGAACGGGGACATGGAGCTGCAACGGGAGAGCAAGGGTCGACAGGAAAGCACCGTCAGACCGTGAAGATGACATGTCATCCTAATCCTAAGCAGGTTTGGAGTAAGTAGTGTAATCATACAGGAAATGAACAAAAGCACACTGAAACTGAACTATTTTTGAATGTGCCGTTGATGGACACTACTCTCCCACATTGTAATGCAAAAGAAGAAATCCATGAGCTGCACAAACCTGCAGAAATGAAAGTACTTGTGGATGTGACGGAACAGCTCAGAAACTGTTACGTTTTGTTTTTGTGAAGTTTAGTCGGCAGGGTTCCTTTAAGAATCACTGTTTACACTAGTTTAGGAAAATAAAGCTATGAAACATATTGTTTTGTGACATATACTGCAAGGCATAACAAGGCAACAATATGCAAAGAATACAATATACAAAGTACTTCAAAGACAAAAGTGATACTGTACTTCAAATTAAAAAGAAATGGGTTTGATTTTTTTGGTTGGAACACAAATGTTGTCAGTGTTCTGGTAAGAGTTCCTTTTTTATTGGTATAAAACAAGTCAAGTACGTTCATCACTTCCTGTGCACTAAGTGTATGTAATACAATAAAGGGTTGTGAAGCAGCAGCGTAACCAGCAGGTGGCAGTGCAGCACCGCCAGTCAGTAACTGTGAGGGAACGGACGAGGTAAGAAGGCTGGTATTCTCGCTGCTCTTCCACTTTCATCAGTCATAGACGGAGGGATGAAGGAGTTGTTGTTTTTTATCTCAACGAGGTTAATGACTCCTGAGTTATTCCTGTCATCGATACATTTCACCGCAATGTTTCCTCTCCATTAACCAACCAGTCCGTATCACCGGGGATTGTGTCGTTTGTCACTCCCAACTGTGAAGCCCCTGTAGCAACTCGTGGACGTGGACCTTTGAGCACATGCAGTGGAGTGCAGTGTCATATCTGAGGCACATCTTAAATGTGCGCCACTTCTCAGAATACAATGTTGAACATGCACACACAGAAAGGAAAGTAGGGTTGTGGTAGATGGTGAATAGTTCATGTCCTTTAACACAGCGATAAACACATGACTGCTCCACGCACGCACACACACACGCGCACACACACACACACACACACACACACACACACACACACACACACAC